ACTCGCCTGCACAACTCCACTCAGTACTTCGTCGCACATGATCACAGCAGCGCTTGTGGGGAAGACGGCCTTGTAAAATTGACTTGGAGAATCATATGGAGTGAAAGTTAAGTATTTCGCATTCGTGACATCCAGCATCATCAAAGTAAGAGACCTCACAACACATTATTCATGCAGTGTTTATCTTCTTATCTCCTTAACGAGGCAGGCTAATCCAGTGATTGCCTATTCGCCGGCACTTTCCACCTGGTTGTCAGTGGTGAATGCCCGTGTAGTTTACCAAGAAAGGGCGTAATTGCAGGGGAAAAAACTCATGCAATTTGTCCAATAGTTACATAGGATGCTTCCACAGATTGACATCCAATCCAGCCTAAAAGTAAACAATCTGCCACAAGTAACCAAAAACGTTTTTTATGAATCGGTCTAAGATCAACTGAAAAGATGTTGACGCCGTCAGCAGTTGGACTTTTGTATGCGACGCTTCAGCTCCAACCTCGGACTTTTGGGACTGCACTGAACGGACGGACTGGATGGGACTGCATGGACTGACCCTATGCCCTACCAGACCAACAGGCCTAAACTTGACCTCCTGCCCTACTGCACTGGGACCATATGTTACACGGGACTTGAAACCTTGGGACCGGCGCTGGGACAGGATGCTGATAAACATGAAGTCCTTTCAAAATATTATAATAAGGCAACTTGAGTTGGAGGGCCGTGTGATGGGCGACCATCTCACACGGTTTGGAGAGCTTTTGTTAAACCACCAGTACTTGGCCCAGCTACCGGCCGCGGGCGTTTCACGTTAACCCGCCACGCCCTGCGGGCTTCGGGTTATCGGACCAGCCAAAGGAAAATGAAACGCCGCACGGCGATTCAGCAAATCTTGCCGCGCAGGGAGTATCCTGGCTCGGCATCGATTGCTGGGCCAAGTACTGGTGGCTGAAGACCGTCGAGGCTCGGCTCTTCAAGCCTAGCAGTGGAACTGTTGACTCTATTCCATACTCGTGGTGCATCGCGCGCATGCCAGTCGCGCATACGCGGCGCACTGCGCATTGTGCATGTGGCACGCGCACCCAGTGCGCCGCGGTGAAAATAGGGGTCACCCCCCCCAAAAAAAAAAAAAAAGTCGGCGGGGGCTGAATTGAAGTTCCCTTGCCCTGCCCAAATTAAGTGATGGATCGGGCAATTTGTTTTCGCAGCCGCGCTCGACATCTGTGTGTGTGCGAAAGGAAAAAATGTATGAGGGTGGGTGAGGGCAGGTTCAACTTACCTACTTACAGAATCGGTGGTGAGGGGCCTTGATCCACTGCTCACCAAACGTGCAAAAAAGTTCAACTTACCTACTTACAGAATCGCCGGTGATGGGCCTTGCTCCAGTACTCACCAAACGTGCAAAATGGGAATGAACTGTCCACTAGAACATGGAAAGATACACTGCCATTAGTGTTGTCTGTCGGCATCTGGCATCTGTCAGAATGACAACTGGCCAAGCCCAATCAGTGCACGGACGAATCATGTTCGACGTGGATTATAGGGCCTCGCTCCACTACTCGCCAATTGGGCAAAATGAGAACAAATCCTCTGCTAGAACATGGGAAAATATGCCGCGATATTTTGTCTTTTATGCATGTGGTGAGACGTGAAGCAAGGCCCATAGCCTCGGGTATTCATTGAAATGGTCCGTTGTGCATTACCTGGGGCCTCACTCCACTACTTGCCAATTGGGCAAAATGAGAACAAATCCTCCGCTAGAACATGGGAAAATATGCCGCGATATTTTGTCTTTTATGCACGTGGTGAGTCGGGGAGCAAGGCCCATAGCCTTGGGTATTCATTGAAATGGTCCGTTGTGCATTACCTGGGGCCTCGCTGCACTAGTCACAACATGCAAAAAAAGATGAAAAAATATGGCGGTGTGTCTCTCCATGTTCTAGAGGAAGATTCGTTCTCATTTTGCACATATGGGGAGTCGTCGAGCGAGGCCTCTGCGCTCAGAATCCGTGAGATTAGGGGCTGCTCTCCATCACCCACCAATTTTGTAAAATGAGAATGAATCTTCTGCTAGAGCATGGAAAGATGCACCACCATAATTTTTGTCTTCTATGCATGTCGTGCATGGTGGGGGAACACCGAGGAGCTTTGAATTCGTCAGAATGAGGCTTTCTGACACTAGGACTTCTTACTTATTTGTGGACGCACTTGCTGTCATATACATCCAGGTCAGGCTGTCAGCGTGAGTACTACCAGTTAGAATGGGCTTGTTCACCAAAGGGCCCCGATTTGATTACGGCTTGGCCTTTTCTTTCCTGTCTTCTGTCTGTGGCACTCACACACGACTCAAACAGCACTCACACACGCACACATACACACACAAAAAAAAGGCACATACAGTGCACATGCATGGGGGCTTGCCGCGCGTACTCCAGCGCAGTGCACGCGGTGCGCACGTGCGCACGCATCATCAATGAGTGCACCGCGCACCCCATAGCTGCACTGCAATCTGTGTTTTCATGGGCTGGGGTGGAAACATTGAAAAAGGCAGTCTTTTGATCTGTGTGGATCATATTGTGCTTTGGTGATTCGGCTTTGGGCACTGGGATCCTGTTGGTCAAAAAGAAAAGAAAATAAATTATCCAAGTTTCTGTTGCCGCAGAGTAATACCCTTTCTTAAATCCCCAAAACAAGGTAAGGAAACATGATGAGACTTCATTGGGAAATTGGAAACATACCACTGCAGCAAGATCTTCCTCTGCGTCCTCAGCCCTTATTTCGGCATCCCGTATTCTGCAAAGAGAGCCAAAAACAACTAGCAGGCTTAAGTACGTTGGGTGGGTAAAACATGATCTTGGGAGAATTGGAGTCTTTCAACTTTGTGATCTTTGATTTAACAGGAAAAAAAGAGAGAATAAATTCAGAGTCTGATCCCACATAATTTGTTTAGGACTGTGTAACTTGAAGAGAAACCCCAATGGCGAAACACAAGCACATCTGTTACATGCCCAGTTGGGCAATGTATGTAAAGCCAAGGATACGCGATGTGATGAAAAGGACTGAATGGACAATGCAGTGCTGGTGGAATCTCAACAAGCAGTGTACATCCTGATACATACAAAAATGGCACATAATAGCGCAGGGGAAGACTTAGATATAAGCTCTGACCTGACCGGGACTGACCTCTCTCCCGTAGTACAAGACAGCCAGATGCTAGAATACCAATGACTAGCCCAATCAATGTCACAATACAGACCAAACATACATCATCCTCATCACAAGGTGTGAAGGGGCCTGGCGCTACACACAGGAAGAATGCGCCAGGTCCAGACCATACACAGACGAAGAGGAGGGGATCGGACCAAGAAGAAGGGGGAAGATGGGAATGTCGTCAACACCAAGTCTTCGGTACAAGTCCCAGATAATCCCTCGTCAAACGTCTGAAGCCCAATGTCGAGTCTGGATCCAAATGTCGCCAAGACCGCTCTCTCTCGTAGTCTGCTGATGCAGTGAAGTCAGGTAGCGAGAGGGTGAGAGGGAGATGATGGACTGAGAAGAGGAAGAAGAAGAACTCTCTCTCTCTCATGTGCCAGGTACTAACCTGTGAAGATGGCGCTGTGCTGCAGGTACCTCGAAGACGAAGCTGGAGCTATGGCGCTGCAGGTAAGTCTCCCTGGCCTCCGCCCAATTTCTCTCTCTCTCCAGCACTACTCTAGCTCCTACTAGCGCCCAGCGCTGAAGACTACTGCTAACGCTACTACTACTGCAGCGCTCCTGCCGAATCCTGAAGACTACCTCCTGCCTCCTGAACTGCACGTGAAGTGCCTGGGCAGTCCCTATGAATCACCTGCAGCCTGCAGGGCGGGCCAGTCTTATATAGTGCTGGCCCGTCCAGGAGGCTGCTCTTCCCAATGTCAAAACGTGCCAGACCCTGGCATTGAAGCTCAAAGAAAGGTTGTCTTGAAAACAGGGCCAAAATGGACTGTGCTTAAACCCTGGTCTGGTGCCTGAGTTTCAGGGCAGGTCGATCTTATGAGGGCCTGAAAATGGCCCTCCATTTCAGGCTGAAAAGACTCAGGGCCTGGAGGGCCCTGTTTTAGGCTGAAACGACACAGGGCCTGTAGGCCCTTGTTTTCAGGCTTTCAGGCTGAAACGACACAGGGCCTGTAGGCCCTTGTTTTCAGGCTTTCAGGCTGAAACGACCCAGGGCCTGAAAATGACCCTCGTTTTGTAACACCCCCCCCTCCTTATGAAGTCAAGCCGGGCCGAGGGCGAAGCTGACGGTCTGAAGGTGGAACCTGGACGCGGGTGCGACGTGGAGCCGAAGATACCGGCTTGCCTTGCATCTTGCGTTCGTAGCGTGCGAGAACATCTGGAGCTGTTGCTTGGAGTTCCGCACGGGTCAACCAACGGTCAGCTTTGTGGGTGCAGTACGCAAAGTGTGCCAAGTATTCGGTCGGCCTGTTGCCGTAGCATCGCTGGGAGATGATGTTGCCGACCTCTTGAAAACCGTCCATAGAGGGTGGGTCTTGTGATCGTCGCCCAGGAAAATCGCCATGTTCCGCTGGTGTGTAAAGAGCCAACTTGGCGCAATGAAAGACCGGGTAGACGGGCAAGTGGGTGGGCACCTGAGTGGTGAAGGAAGGTCCTTCGGGTGCATCCCCAGCGGGTGCCACGATCGGCCAGGGCCCCATCCATTTTGGGAGGAGGTTGCGGGAGAGGTCTTGTTCGAGGCTGAATTCTGTGGCGGAAACCCAAACGAGATCGCCTGCGCGGGATGGACAAGGACGACGTTGGCGATTGGCCTGTTGGCTCATGCGCTGCCGAGTCTTAGCCATCTGGTCGCGTGCCTTGACAAGTAGCTCTTGCGTCTGACGCAAGAAAAGAAGATGGTCGTCGCTCTCGGCCGCTCGTGGAATAATTGTGTCCAACAGAGAAGTGACCGGCGAGCCGTGCTCGAACTCGAAGGGCGACATCCCGATAGCCGGGTGGATGGACGAGTTGTATGCCAACTCGACATCCGACAGCCCCTCAACCCAATCCTTTTGGTCGGGACGAATGAGAGTGCGAAGGAGAACCTGTGCGGTCTGATGCGCCCTCTCCGTTTGGCCATCGGTTTGGGGGTGGCGAGCCGAACTTGGCTTGAGAGATGAGCCCCATGGTTTGATGAGCGCCAACCAAAAATCGGACATGAACCGAGTGTCGAGGTCGCAGACGATTTCCTTGGGGTAACCCTTGGTTTGAATTTAACCGGCGTAAAGAACCTCGACCAACTCCGATGCCTTGGCATGATAGCAGCAAGGCAAAAACATGGCAAACTTGGTAAGTCGATCGACCACCGTGAGAATCCCATCCACACCGGTCTTGTGCTTGGGGAATGGCCCGGTAATGTCCATGGCAATCGCTTCCCTTCGGCGCAAGGGGACCGGTAATGGTCGCAACTTGCCGTACGGACCATGGTTTCAGGATTTGCAGCGTCGGCAAACCTCGCATGACTCGCAATAGCGTGTGACATCGCCGAGAAGGCCGGGCCACCGAAAGCGCTCACGAAGTCGGCCAATCGTGCGATTGACTCCTAAATGTCCGGTGGCGAGAGCATCGTGGAACTCGCCAAGAAGCCATGTACGCAAGTGAGAGTCACTCGGTACGCAAAGAAGGTCCTTCCCCTGCGTGTGGACAAGCAAGTACCCCTCTTGGATCCGGTAGTGAGAAGGCGTCGGATTAGGAGAGGAGCAATTTGCGTACTTGTCGCGAAACTCGAGGTCGGCTTGGTAGCCGTGGATCAAGTTGTCTCGCAGGTCGTTGTCGATCTCGAAGGTCGAATAGACTGCGGTACAATGATCCGGACGCCGTGAAAGAGCATCCGCAAAACGGTTAGACTTCCCCGGAATGTGATCGGGAAAGAAGTCGAATTGGTCGATGAAAGCCATCCCACGGGCGATGGTGCTATTGACGGTGTCTTGGGTCTTGTAGAAGACCAACGGATTGTTGTCCGTTACTCATCGGAATTGACTTCGACCAAGGAGGAAGTGCCTCCACCGCTTGAGCGCATGGACGAAGGCTAGGAGCTCCTTCTTGCGTGCATCATCACTGGAGTGCACGATGGACACTTTCTTGCTGAAGTACTCGACCGGGTGCCAGTCCACGCCATCGTGTTGTTCGAGGACGGCCCCAATGCCATAGCCAGACGCATCCGTAGTGACGCGCGTTGGCAATAGCGAGTCGTATATGCGCAAGACCTCCGCACATAATAGCGCGACTTTGAGAGCCAAAAATGATTCCCGCGCATCCTCTCCGAAGTCAAACGGTCGATCCTCGCATTGAAGCTTGGTCAAGTGGGCCGCGATCTTCGAGTATCCCTTGATAAAACGTTGGTAGTAGCCGGCAAGGCCAAGGAACGAACGAACATCTGTGATGTTCCGCGGTTCTGGCCACTCTTGGATGGCTTGAATCTTGTCCGAGAACGGGCTGATGCCCTCCGATGCGACAAAATGGCCCAAGTATTCCAGCTCTTGCCGGACAAATTCGCACTTGTCGCGGTAGGCTTTATACTTGGCGCGGTGGAGCGTCTCCAACACTCGTCGAAGGTGCTCAAGATGATCGTCCAATGTCCGGCTATAGACGAGAATGTTGTCTAAGTAGACTAGCACGAACCGGTCCAACATCGCATGAAACTCGTTGTCCATTGCCGCTTGAAAAGTCGTCGGGGCATTGGTGAGGCCAAAAGGCATAACGACCCACTCAAAATGCCCGTACCGCGTCTTGAACGTAGATTTGTAGCGATCTTGCGGGCGTATAGGGATTTGGTGATAGCCCGACTTCAAGTCCAACTTCGAGAAGAATTTCGTGCCGCCCAAACACTCGAGAAGGTCGTCAATCCGCGGAAGAGGTCCCGCATTCTTGACGGTTTGTGCGTTGAGCTTGCGGAAGTCGATGCACAAGCGAAGATCCTTGTTCTTCTTCCGTACGAAGAGAACCAGCGCACCGTATGGTGAGCTACTACGGCGGATCCAACCCTTGTCCAACAGATCATCAAGTTGCGCGTGGAGAACCGCGAGCTCTTCCTTGCTCATGCAATAGATGCATCCTTTTGGCGGCACCACACCGGTCTCAAGAATGATCTCGTGGGCGATCGGCCGATCCGGCACCACACCGGTAGGACTCGAAGATGTTGGTGAACTCGTCGAGCAGCCGCACCACTCGGGGGGTCCGAAGACAAGTCCGTAGGTGAAGATTCGGTCGTCACGATGGCTCGTACAAAACATAGGCCTATCTCGTCGGTCTGCTCGTAAGCGTAAGTGGCCCGAAAAGACTTGGTCGTTACGACTTGGCACCGGATCGAGGGGTGCGAAAGAGGAATGGTACACGACACCTCAGCGCCGAAGTCGTTGCAAACGGTAAGTGTCCGCCGATGGAAGTTAACCGTGTGATCCGCACTTGCAAGCCAAGGTATCCCCAAAATGATGTCTAAGTCTGTGTCCAAGACGACAAACGTCACCGGTTCGCATGCATGAGGTGCGAAATAAACCGGCACAACTTCAATGTACCGATCGAGGAGTTGTTGCGTCCGACCGTCCGCCAACTTGATCGTCGTCAGGTTTGGCTTCCTTTGAACTTGTGCGCCAAGGCCGGCCCTTTGGATAAAGGACTGGCTGATGAAATTGTGAGTCGCGCCGCTATCCAGCAAAGCGTTGCAGAACGCTTGCCCAACTTGGATGCAGACATAAAGGAGCGGTGCGTTGTTATCATCGTACCGCTGCATGCGAAACTCGCGGGCCACCTTGCTAACATACGCAAGGATGTCCCCCACCGCAGCTTCGTCATCCATCGGCGAAGGTGGTGGTGCATAGAAGGCTAAGTATGTGTGCAAATGGGCGCATAATGCTGCGCATTGCGGTCCCGACAAGCAGCATGTGGAAGGGAGAGGAAGCCATGCAAAATCCTCGGACGTCAACGGGTCCAATACCTCTATGTTGAACTCGTGCGTCGAATCCTTTGAAGAACCACTTGAAGACGATTCATTGTCACTGTTGCCGGACGGAGAAGAAGTCGCACACACATCTTGTCCTTGAGCTTGAGAACCCAGCGAAGGAACGAGCCGGGCAGCATAGTCCTCATAAGAATATAAGAGAGGACTGTCGACTTCCGCATGTGCCTCGGAATGAAGAGAGGCGGACGTCGAGAGTGCAGCCGCATCGTTCTCGGCGGTGCTCACTTTCCCGAAAGGAATTTGCCTTTGACTTGCGTGGGGCACGTTGCGGTGTCGTGCATGCGCTGTTGCACCACAAGCAGTATCGGTACTTAGTACGGATGCGGAACACGCCTTCCGAGATACCGTAATGTGTCCAAGGCTCTTGAACCGCTGGCCCGGCCCCGGGGGATGAATTGGTGTGTGTCTTCGATTTGCCGCATCCTCGCCCTCTGGCGGGGCGGCCACCATCCCAAGCGGCTGCCAATCTGTCTCCTTCATCAGAAGAGGCAGCCTTGTTTGAAGGTTCGGTCGCTGTAGTTGTCGCGACCACGGCCAGTTTCGGCCGATGCTGATCTATGCCCTGACTCGCAGCAGACGAACGGCCCAAATTCTTGGCTTCGGTGTTCGTCACGATGATCTGTGAGGCTTTATCAAAAAGCTGCTCACTTGTGGTGAGCTTCTCCACAACTTGCGTCAAGGCGTTCTGCAACGCCGGACAGCTCCTCCTGATGAAGAAATGTTTGATGCCGACAAAGGTCGACAACAAGTTGGGCGTGGACGCCAAGCGTTGGTACGCGGTTATCCAGTCCGTGCTTGGCAGGTCGTTCTCATAGAAACGTTGAAGTTTCTCAGCTGCCTGAAGCTGGCGGCTCCACTTCAAACCGCTTATGCAATGCTGCCTTGAGATCAGGCCAACTGATCTGCGTATGCAGCTCGGAGACTGTGACGGTGTTTGTGGACAATATGTTGTCCAGCCATGCCTGGCACGCGCCCCTCGAGGAACATAAGAATGTGTGTCGGTTCGGGTTGGTGAATGTCCAACTTCAACTTGAACTGGCGCCACCATGGAATCGGGTCCGTCTTCACTGCATCGCCGAAGATCGGCATGCCGTCAAACTTCGGAATGCTCTCGCAAGTAGTCGCGGTCGGACTGGCTGCGGCGGCACAAATCTGCTGGTCAATCCGCTGATTTGTTGCTAGAGCGCTGTCCTTGAGAGTCCCAACGTCAATTTCCAAGACGTTGACGCGGTCCGTCAAGTTGGAGGGTCCGGCGGGGGTGTAGGCTGCTGTTCCAGCCGGCGTACCCGGTCAAGCAGTTCGTCGATAAGTCGAGCTTGCTTCCGGACCAGGGTGTCTACGCAGAGGATGTCCTCTTGCTGTGCTGCACAGGTGGCAACCAAGTCGCTCACATGTTCGTCAGTGGTTGCAAGGCCACGCACAGCAGGGGGGGCATCCTCCTTTTCAGCAGCCACTGCCCATTTGCCGGCGATCACCTCGATGTTCCCCTCGGATTCGAGGATTTTGTCTCGGCGTAGTCGACGGCGTTCGTTTGCGGCCTTCCTTGCTGCCTCGGCATCCTCCTATCGATGTTGTTCAGCGAGGCGATGCTGTTCCTCTGCCTTCTCATCTTTCTTCTTACGTGCGAATGTTGCCGCAGCTGCCCGTTGCTTGAACTCTGCTACCATGTCCAACATGCGCGTCTCATAGGCCTTGGTAGTCTCTCCCGTCTGCTGATCCATGCCGCTTGTCTTTGAGCGGGTGAGCACCATGTACTAATGTGACCTGCTGCTGCGGCGACTGGTTGTGCTGACGTGGCTTGCTGACGTGGCAACTCACCAATGCCGCCGCAGGGGGTACCCGGAGATAGAGAAGACCAGAGGTGGCAACAACATAGGTGGGGAGGGGTGGGTTGATCACCCAGATAAGGAGCCACTAATCAAAAAAGAAATGTTTGAAAACTTCACAGAAAAATTCAAGAGAAAAGAAAATACTCGATCGCAAGTTCAGTAGGCCTCTCAATTCCCCCTGAAGTGCGAAATTACCAATGAGGAAAAAATTTCGAACTTTCAGACTGCAAACAAATTCCGAAAGTAAAATACAAAAAAATATTCGGAATTACTTAGATGAGAGGACGTGCAGTTTGGGAAATGACAACTGCAAGAGGGATTTCCCGCACCGTTTTCAAAAAAATCGAATTTCAGAAATTCAAAAAAAAAGATATTATGGATTTCCAAATAACGGGAAATTGCAAAAAGAAATCGAAATTCTCGAAAAAAAAAAAGATATTCCGGATTTCCAACAACGAAATTTCGTATTTTTATAAGAAAAACGAAAACAAAAATTTCAGGTGTTGCGCTATTGCGATTTTCCACAACAGAAATAGCGGGCGAACAAAATTCAAGAAAAGAAAAAAAAATTGATTTTCGGCAATTAGGTCAAAATCGTGATTTTGGGGGCTAAATACTATGCTCTAATCATCAATCAATCAAAACTAATTAACTACTTAGTCCCCGCACACGTGTCATATCAGGCTGTCCTGATTCACATGCGGTGTTCCGATACCAACCGTTACATGCCCAGTTGGGCAATGTATGTAAAACCAAGGATCCGCAATGTGATGAAAAGGACTGAATGGACAATGCAGTGCTAGTGGAATCTCAACAAGCAGTGTACATCCTGATACATACAAAAATGGTGCTTTGTGATGAAAAGGACTGAATGGACAATGCAGTGCTAGTGGAATCTCAACAAGCAGTGTACATCCTGATACATACAAAAATGGCACATAATAGCGTAGGGGAAGACTTACATATAAGCCCTGACCTGACCGGGACTGACCTCTCTCCCGTAGTACAAGACAGTGCAGCACGATGCTAGAATACAAATTACTAGCCCAATCAATGTCGCAATACAGACCAAACATACATCATCCTCATCACAAGGTGTGAAGGGGCCTGGTGCTACACACAGGAAGAATGCGCCAGGTCCAGACCATACACAGACGAAGAGGAGGGGATCAGACGAAGAAGAAGGGGGAAGATGGGAATGTCGTCAACACCAAGTCTTAGGTACAAGTCCCAGATAATCCCTCATCAAATGTCTGAAGCCCAATGCCGAGTCTGGATCCAAATGTCACCAAGCCCGCTCTCTCTCGTAGTCTGCTGATGCAGTGAAGTCAGGTAGCGAGATGGTGGACTGAGAAGAGGAAGAAGAAGAACTCTCTCTCTCTCATGTGCCAGGTACTAACCTGTGAAGATGGCGCTGTGCTGCAGGTACCTCGAAGACAAAGCTGGTTTGTTTTATATTCTGTAAATAAGATAGATTCTCTTATATGTAGCTTAGTTTTTTATTTTTATAATTACATATTTCATCGTTCTTTTACCATTCACAATTTGAAATTTTTTGATCAAATTATCCATGAGATTTTTATATGTAAAAATGATATATCTAAACAGAAAGTGCAAGATCTTTTAAATACAATTATATTGTTTTTTTAATTTTTTGTTTTTCGGTGTGAGTTGAATTACGAAGTATGAAAAGTCAGAATCTCCGGAACCACCCAATTAGTCCCATCCATTATGCCAACAAGTGGACCTGCCGCAGCTACGCTGCGGCAGAGGAGAGGGATGAAGAGGGAGGCGGGGCCGTTGTTGTTACACTACCGTTTTTTTTTGTTTTTGTTTTTTTTTCGTCGTCATATTCTCTCTCTCTCTTTCTCTCTCTCTCCCTCTCTCTCTCTCTCTCTCTCTCTCTCTCTCTCTCTCTCTCTCTCTCTCTCTCTCTCTCTCTCTCTC